AAAAGTCAGTATGACCCTAAAATATATAAATTAGTAAAAATCCTTAGTCTGTAAAATAGATGATTCTGGTCAATCCCGACAGATTTAAAAAAAAAAATTTTTTGGAATTTTATTTCCTTATAGTTAATTGGTCACTACGGAAAATTTAAAGTCAAATGTATTATTGGTTCAAAAGTTATTTAAATGTCAATAATACTCTCATTTTCGGTGCCATTTCGCAGTAAATTTTCCATGCTTAAGCGCTATAACTTTTGTCAAAAAATCACCTGTTTTTTTGAAAAAATCAAAAGTTATTGACAAAAATGTCAATAACTTTTGATCCGCTTAACTTCAAAGGCCAAATGACCCCTCATTTTTTAAGTCAAACCAAGCTCTATACAATTACATCAATTATATTTGAATATTTTAATTATAAAAAAATTGTCTGGAATGGCTACCAAAGAAAAATTCTCAAGCTACAATCAAAAAATATGAAAATTTTAACGTTTACGTTAAAATTTTTATATTTTTGATTGATTGAAAATTTTAACGTTTAAAAAACGTTAAAATTTTCATCTTTTTTGATTGATTGAAAATTTTAACGTTTACATTAAAATTTTCATCTTTTTCGATTGTAGCTAAAGAATTAACGTTAAAATTCAAAACGTTAACACAAAAAATGTAAACATTTTGGTTTTTCACATCTTGATCGTGTGAAAAATCTCACAGTACGTTCCAGCATTAAGCAAAACCAATAAAAGCGTTTCAAACGTTTATATTTTAATTTGTTTTTAAATATTTCTACTTTTAAGAAGAATTACGATGAGGAATGCAAGTGTTTTAATTAGAAAGAATATCAGACATCGCATTTAAGACAAACAAAATTCTGAAATAAGATTGAGTCTTATTTTATGTACGTACACTAGCTTCATTAGCGTCCGTTATAAAGTTATATATATATATATATATATATATATATATATATATATATATATATATATATATATATATATATACATATATATATATAAATATATGTATATATATATATATATATATATATATATATATATATATATATATATATATATATATATATATATATATATATATATATATATATATATTAGTGCTGGGCAACGATTAAATATTTTAATCGCGATTAATCGCAGAAATACGAAAAATTCAATAATAAAACCACAAGTAGTATATATAGCGTAAATTTATTTTTTCATAGTTAAATTAACATAACTTTTGGTTTGTCAAAACTTTAAACAGTTTTATCCATTCTTCCAACTTTACTTACTCATCTGCACCAAGCCAGTTACTCAGACAAACAAGGTAATTCACATTTTCAGATGATAAAGAAACTCTCCTCTTTTGTACAATATGACCAGCAAACAATCTTTCACAAGGAACAGATGTTGCAGGTGTTGCCAAGTACTTCTGTGCAATTGAGGCCAGCCTGTTGTGTGAGCCTGCATGTTTGGACCACCACTGTAATGGACAGGCCTCTGTACTGATGGTGGGCTCTGCTTTGTACCGACGCACACCGTTTTCAATTGAGTCTTCCTCTTGTTCAGAATCAGACTCTGATGAAGCAACCAATAGAGCAAATTTTCTCTGTGATGGCTTTGATGTTGCTGCTTCCACAAGTTCATCTGCAATAACCCTCTGTTCCTTGAGTAAGTTAGTGATTGAGACCCACACCTCACCTCTCTCAACTCTGGGTATACACTTGAGGTCTTTGAATCTCGGGTCCGATGCGGTTGCAATCTTTAGTTATGCAATGTTGGCATTTTCCTTGCGTGTTTCCAGATCTATTCTGAACATAGATTTGAATTTGAAAACATAGGCCGGGTCATCATCTGAGCTCTCCATCACCCGAGAGAGATGGCATAAAGCAGGCAGAACCACAGAGCATGAAACGTACTTTTCTCCACCCAGAAGTTCAGTCACATACCTGCAAAAAATAAAACCCATTTCACTCAAATTTTTTGCATTCACTTATACACACAAAAAGTGTTCTCATGTTCATGCTTACGCACAAATACAGACACATCAATTCTCTCACATGCAATGAAACCAGTCAGTAAGAAATATATGATGTAAAATATATCTGCAGGGTTCTAGGAGCTTTTCCAACCTCTGCAATTTGTCCATTTCAGCTGGAGTTGGCATAGCAACTTTTGTGTTGTGTGTGGTGAGGACATCGCTCAGTGGCTGTTCGTTTCTGCGAACACTTTTTATCATGTCCAGAGTCGAGTTCCATCTGGTTGGAATGTCTTGTATAAGCGACTCCTTCTTTTGTCCAAGCTCAATTTGTTTTTTTTCTAATTCTGCAGCACTTGCTGGACTGTGTTTAAAATGGCCCACCACCTTTCTGCATTTAGCCAGGGCATTGTCAAACGCGCTGTTGTGCAAAGATACTGTGACAGAACGCTGAAGACTGTGAGCGACACAAGGGACGCGTTCAAAAGGCAGATGTCTTGCAGCAGCGACAATATTTCTAGCACAATCTGTGCTAAGTGTGCTGACTTTATTTAAAATGTCCCACTGCTGTGCAACATGAATGAAATGTTCTGCGCACGTTTCAGCAAAATGTCTTTCTTGTGTCTTCATTACTGTCAAAGCATGTGAATGCAGTTTCCATTGTTCATCAATGTAATGCACAGTTACTCCGAGATAATTATGGTTACCCAGCGATGTCCAGTAGTCTCCGGTGAGGGCAACAGTTTGTGCACGTTGTAATGCCGTTGCCTTTATAGTCCTCTCGTTTTCATACAGTTCATGTATTTTTCTTACAATGGTGCGTCTTGGCGGAGGCTCATACGTGCAGTCATTCGTTGCGATCCGAATAACATTCTTCAAACCGACATCTTCCACAATACTAGTTGGCCTGCAATTTGTAGCTACCCACTTTGCAATGGCATTTGTTATCTTGTCTTTCTTTTGTTTCTCTGTAGTTCTCCCTCGTGCTGCATCTAACGTAGTCTGCCAAAGGTTTCCTCCACTGTTTGTTTGGGTGGATGATTTGTTAGCATCAACGGTGTGCATTGCATTTAAGTGATACTTCAAACTTGAAGTACTCCGATGATAAGAAAATTCCGCTTTGCAGTGTTTACAAATAGCTTTAGTTCTATCTACTCCTTGTTGAAGAGGTTTAAAATAAAAGTGTCCGTTTAAAATTTCGGTACCTTTTTCCATTTTTAAATATTTCTCAATTTACTTACTGCTTGTTGTTTGAGCATAAGCAATAACATAAATACGCACGAAAGTTTCAATTCTTTTATGATTCGATTATTATCGAATTATAAATAATTAAATTATAATTCGATTATTACATAATTTTGAAACAATACAAAATAAATAAACAAAACTATAAATAAACATAAAAATACAAAATGCGAAATAACTTTTTTAATATATTAATACTAATAAAAATTAATATAATAATAATTATAAGCAATAATAAGCAAAAAATATAAAATTAGAAACGAAAACTTTGACAGACAGTTTCACAAAAGAAAAATAAAGTTAAGCTTGTGAATCTTAAAAAAAAACGAGCGGCAGAAACTCATAATGAACTCATTGTAAAGACTAATAGGTGGAAAAAAAAATTTCATAAAAACTTAGCAAAAAAATATATTTTTTTACAATAATAAAATCTGGAGATTAATTTTTTAATTTAAATTTAATAGTTCTGTAAACTAAAGATTGACAGGTCTGTTTTGATGAATTTTGTGCAGCCCTGTCACTTTTTAGTTTAATGAACTATTAAATTTAAATTAAAAAGTTTACTTTTTACTTTTTAGACTTTCAAAATAAAAAGTACGTTAACGCGCGATAAAATTATTGTCGGCGTTAATTAATTAATGCGTTAACGCGATAATAACGCGTTAACTTTCCCAGCCCTAATATATATATATAAAAAAAAAAAGTTGATTCGATACAACGCAAAGCAAAACGAATAAAATGTCTTCAAGGAAAAAACTATGAAAGTAGACTAACCTACTTTAAATTAAAGACTCTTGAAAAAAGACGCGAACGTAATGACCTAATCCAACTTTACAAAATAGTAAAAAAATTAGATAATTTAACATTAGAATACCCACCAGATTTAATAGCTTCAAATACGAGAGGTCACAATATAAGGCTTCTTAAACAATTAACTAAAAATCCAAAGAGGTATTATTTCTTAACGAAGCGTGTCATTAACAGCTGGAATAACTTAGATCAAAACATTGTAGATTCTAAAACACTTAAACAATTTAAATCAAAGTTGGACTTATCTTTAACATAAATTGGCTGTTCAAACCTAGATCAACTAGGCTCCAAATATTGTCATTGTACATGTACACAGTTATTAAATAAATAAGTATAAGTGATTAGTATATTTTGTATAACTTATGCGATCTTGTTTAATATCCACGTTTTGAAATCACTTCCCTCCGTATCTTAGTTTAAATGTTTTTGATGCATTCCTCAAAAATAAGTTAAGGAGGTAGAAAAAGGGGAGCAAAACAACAGATTGAATTATTATTCTTCAACATAAATCGACCTTTTAAAAATAAGTATTATAAAAAAAAAAAAAAAAGAAATTGTATGATTTATCATTTTTATTATTATTATTATTATTATTATTTATAATTGTCAATTACAGATTCTTAATATATAAAAATATTTAAAAAAATTGTTTCGCCATTCTAATTAAAAAAATACTGAGTAGTTTTACGCTTTACGAGTTAGTTGTGTAAAGTAAGTGAATACGTTTTATGTAAAATAAATAAGCTTTTTTATAAAAATAAATGATTAATTTTTATATAAAAAAAAAAAAACCAATACGCTTTGAGATGAAAATTCAAAAGAATACAAACAATGTCGAAAAAATTTTGCTTAGAAAAATTTGATAATTACACCGAAATAAAAGAAACGCTAATTTTGAAGACGCTGTATTGAAAAGCATGAAATATCTAAATCGTGTGAAAAGAGCTATTTATCCATTATTCAAGACTCACATTCTTTACTTTTGAAGCGCAACTTTGCTGAATTTTTTTTCGTTAAGTTATTAAGCGTGAGTAACTATTTATAAAAGAAAAGATTTTTTATTTTTAGTAAAATAATAATACGAAAATAAATGGAACTTATTAGTCAAAGAGAGCGTTTTATGCTGGCAGAATCCTTTTCACTTTACGACACTGTTGGAGATGGAAAAATAGAAGTTGGGCTTTTAGGCGAAGCCTTACGAGGACTTGGTTTAAATCCAACAGAAAGTGACGTAAATAAAATTGTACGAGAATTAGAATCAAGTGGTGCAAAGCGAATAACATTTGAAGAGTTTTTTCCTATTTATCAATCATTAGCAAACAGAGCTGAAAAAGACTCAAGGAAAAAGAGTAAATCAGACTTTACTGAATGCTTTCGTTTGTTTGACAGAGAACAAAATGGTACTATAGCTGCTGGTGAACTTCATCACGTTATGACGAGCTTGGGAGAAACGTTAACTACGGCTCAAATGGATGTTATCGTGCAGGGATTAGAAGATAAGAACGGAATGATAAATATTGACGAACTTGTAACGACAGTGATGGACGGTTAAGTTAGTAAAACAATGATTCGCAGTTAATTCAGAGATGCACCGTTATCTAAACTTGCTTTCTGATATAACTCTGTCATAACTCTGATATAACTAACTATAAAATAACAAGTGAAATATAAAATATAATCAATATGTAATTATTTTTTTTGTTAGCTTGCTGTCAATAGTTCTTTAAAAAAAGTAAAAATCATAAAATATATTTTGCGATGCAAGTATTAACTTTTTAGTGTGAATAGAGTTTCTTTATTACGATATTCGCAAACTTAAGTAAGTTGATAAAAAATTTTGTTTGTCAATCAAAGGTTTTCTAGTAACAACTCTCTTTTAAATATACTAAAAACCCGCTTTTATAAACGAAAATCACAACGTAAAGTTGTATTAGGAGTGTTTACATTTTCGCGATACAGAAGTTACATTTTTACGATTTAAGTAAAAGCCAGTTGACGGTAAAAAGCGCTCAAAAATATTTAGAATGCTCAAAAATATTTTATAAAATGTTTTTAAATCAGAAACTATTTATTCTATTATTGTTTTTACTTGGTTTAAACATTATGAGAGACAACTTTTGTCTAGTTTTCTGAGTTTTTTTATTTTTTTTATTTAACGCTTAATAAAAATTTTAATATAGATATACGATCAAATCAATTTAATATGTATTCTGAAAAAAAAAAAATTATTACAAGGAAATCACTTACTAATGAAAAGTTAAAACCATTAAAGAACTTTTAAATTTTTCTACATCAATGATATTTACAAAAAGTAATAAATATTAATCTATAAGTTCAAAAAAAAAATAATATAATATATAAAATCAAAAAAAATTTAAAAAAAGTTTTAAACAAAAAATTAGAATGGTTAATATTCAAACTGGAGAGTTTATAGCTTATAAAGAACTACAAGATAAACGAATTGAAGCTTTTGAAAATTTAGTATTTGATTAAATAAAGCGGAATGACGAGTTGCAAAAATGTGTTGCTGAATTAGGAGATAAAAAATCAAGTAACCTAACTTCTAAAGCTTTATATAGTAGTTTTTTTACTACAAATAAACCAGGAATAAACGACCAAGAAACGATTATTCCTATTCTTAACGCTGTCTCCGTTGAAACCGCAGATAGAATAAAAAGAGAGAAAAATATATTAGTTTTTGGCGTTGATGAATCAAAAGAAACAGATATTAAGAAAATAAAAGACGACGATAAAAAAAAGCGCTTAACAAAATTTTTGATGTACTTAAATTAGATAATAGCAAAATCACACGTCATCATCGTTTTAATTCTAAAAATAATAAACCAGGAATAATAATTGTAGAAATGACGGATAAACAATCAGCGCACGAAAGCCAGGAAATTAAGTAAAATAAACGAATACAAAAGCAAAGTTTATATTAATCCAGACTTACGTTAGCTCAACGAGAGAGTAAAAAAATATTAATCGCAGAAAGAAACAGATTAAATAATCTAGCTGAGAACCAGCCCTTTTGGTTTATTATCAAAGATGAGCGAATAGTCAAGTTTAAAACTAACCAAAAAGATCAAATCTAATAATTTCTCTTACAAGAAAAAAAATAACATCTCTTTAAAACAAAAAAATTTACACATAAAAATAATAATTTTAAAATAAGCCCGACAAATAATTCAAATAAAGAAGTATCTGTTTATCTTTTTAATGCCAGAATCCTTGCTAATAAACTTCATGAATTTAATTTATATACAGAGGTAGTCAACCCAGCTTTAATATGCGTGTGCGAAACCTTTTTTAACAATAAACTAACCAATGACATTGTTTGTCCTAATGGCTATTCAATTTATCGTAAAGACCGTGTGAAAATTGGAGGAGGAGTCGCTATTTATTGTCAACATGATATTAAGTCCGAACAAGTTGCGATTACTCAAAACAATAATGATGTTGATATTATCTGCGTTGACTTTGTCTTTGGAACCCTCAAACTTCGTTTAATTACATGCTACCGTCCACCTTCTTATTTCAAAATAGATTTTGACTATCTCGTCTCTATGATGTCAATTATAAATGATTTGTGCTACTCCGTTTCTTAATTTATTATTGTGGGTGATTTTAACTTACCAAAAATTGACTGGCTAAACTACATCTCACCGAACGAAAAATGTCATAGCTTATTTTTAACCCATGTCAATAGCCTAGGTATGCACCAATTTGTTCACGAACCAACACGCGAATCCAATATTTTAGACCTTGTTTTTTCTAATAACAATGCTCTTTTAAGTAAAATTTCTGTTGAGTGCCTTATTAGTACCAGCGACCATAACTCAGTCCATTTTTCTTTAAACATTAATGATAAATATCAGTACGAAAAGAAATCGGAATATTTTTATGATTTCATCAATGCTGATATAGATAACTTTCTAATTTACCTTTCGAATATTAATTGGGATTACGAGTTTTCTTATGTATTCAATATTAATGAATATTGAAACATTTTCTATAATCATATGAGAATTGGGATAGACCGTTTTGTTCCGGTAAGAAAAATACGTCATAGTAAAAAGAGTCATTACCCTAAATATATCACGAAAATATTAAGTCGAAAATTCTTTTTATGGAAAAGAAATTCTGTTAATAAAACCATTCTACATAAACAAGCTTACAAAACATACGCCATCAAATGTAAACAAACCTTGTTTGCTTATCTCAAAAGAATCGAACTCAAATTAGTTGATGACCATAAACTCAGTAAGTCCTTTAAATATGTTAATAATAAACTAAATAATCATAAAGGGAACTACCCTATAAAGAACAAAGACAATAATTTCAAGTTAACTTCTAGCAACAAAGAAACTGCTGAAGTTTTTGATAAACACTTTGGAAGTGTATTTACGGACGATAACAACTATTCACCAAATATTACTAGTTTTGTTAACGACTCGATAAACATTAAAGACATTAATTTTTCTGTTGAGACGGTTTATTCAACTTTAATTAATCTCAAACCGAGTACATCTTATGGTCCTGACGGAATACCGAACATTCTTCTGAAAAAGCTAGCTCTAGTTTTATGTATCCCACTTTCGTTTATATTTGATGCCAGCTTTAAGTCGAATAGTCTACCACAACAGTGGCTTCAAGCTTTTGTTTCTCCAATTTTTAAAAAAGGAGCAACATCAGACCCTAATAATTATAGGCCAATTTTACTCACATGCACCTGTTGTCGTGCAATGGAAAGAATTATTAACTCAGATATTATTAAATACTTAACTCTCCATAACTTAATAGCCAATAATCAACATGGTTTCCTCAAGAAACGCTCTACATGCACTAATCTTTTAGAATCTGTTAATGATTGGAGTACTGCACTAGACAATAAACTAACAACAGTTGTTGTATATATCGACTTTCAAAAGGCATTCGATTCTGTATCACACCCTAAATTGTTAGCCAAACTAGCTTTATTTAACATAAGAGGTAATTTAAAAAATTGGATTGATGCATTTCTTAACAATAGGAGTCAGAAACATGGCAACTACCTATTTCTACCAGTAAGTGTTTTGTTCATAGGATTGCACCTGCTTCATCAAGAAAATTTGTTAACTTTAACTATAAGTTAGGAGATCATGTTTTAGCTTGGTCTTCTATTCCGAAAGATCTCGGTGTAACTCTGGACTCTCAACTAAACTATAAAAAGCATATCTTAAACATTGTACATGCAGCTAATACTAGAGCATATCTTATTTTAAAATGCTTCAAGTCTCGCGATTCTAGAATCTTAGTAAAAGTTTTCAATACATATATTAAGCCTATATTAGAATATTGCTCCCCAGTTTGGTCACCATATCATGTTGAACTAATAAAGGTTGTTGAAAACGTGCAAAAACGTTTCACAAAAAAAATCCTGCACTTAGGCAATTTAACCTACGATAACCGACTTCAGTTGCTTGATTTGGAGTCGTTTGAGTTAAGGCGAGTATAGCATGATTTATCGATTTGCTACAAAATTCTGCATAACTTGGTCTTAATTGATAAGTCTATGTTCTTTCTTTTTGAGAACAAAAACAACATTCGGGGACATAAGTATAAATTGCACAAACAACATTGTCGACTAGATATTCGCAAATTTAGTTTCTCTTATCGAGTTGTCAACATTTGGAACCAGTTACCTTTCGATGTTGTTAATGCCGATAATATTAACATCTTTAAGAGGGAAATTAACTCAATCAATTTTGAAAAGTTTTGTCGGCGTTGATAAATCATTTATTCAATGTTGTACAGTGTTACATAATTTATTTATTTATTTTTTGGGTGGGCACGCTGTTAGTGTCCATCAATATTGGACCTGCGTGTCTTTTAGAACATGTATATTATCTGTTCTAATAAATACAAATACAATACAAGTTTTAATGATAATAAAAGTAAACTTTTAATGATAATAAAATAGTCTTATTATTCAGTATACGTATTCAGTATACTATAACACCAGTGAAAATAATTTATTATTATTTTGATAGTAATAATTTCTGGTGATAATAATATTTATTTATAGTAATAAATTCGAGTGTTCCGGATAAGATATTCGTCCGGATTTTTATACTATCTGGCCGGATAATACGAATAATTCGGTTTTTTATGCCGGATTGTTTACTTTACTGCCGGATTTTTGCAATCGTAAAAACTTGTTTTAACTATTGCTTCAGCCTTAAAATATGTTAAAACCCTTAAGATAATTTTACAGTGTTAATCTTTTAAAACAATCTTATGTTAGTGGATTCAATCAAATATTTATTTTATTTTATTTTTAATGGATTCAATAAAATATTTTTATCTTTTTTGTTTTTAGTGGATTCAATAAAATATTGTTCATTTGACAGTGCAGTGACTTTCTAAATGGCGGATATGTTTTTATAGCAAATTTTGTAAATAAATTTAAAATAAAAAAAAGAAAAAGAAAAGGTTCAATCAAGGCCAGCGCAATGGGGAAGAGGGTGTCACACACACACACACACACACACACACACACACACACACCATCAATAATTTTTTCTTTAATTTAGTGGTCAAATTTGACCCTTTTTAAAAAGTTTTTTTTTTTTTTTTACATTTGTTATTTAGGTGCCCCAAGAAGACCTAACGGTCTTGTCACAGAGCACCGCGGAAGTGCATTTAACCAGGAAGTTCACGCCTCCTTCCTTACCGTGACGCGAAATATGTTCAAGGCTCGTTTCGAACACCTGGATCACCTGCTTATGAAGCAAGCGCTTTAACCACTGCGCCACGGCCGTAGTAAAGTTAATCGTCAAATGTAGACCCTTACTCGACCAGTTAGTCGGTAAACTTAGACAGCCAGTCGGCAAATGTCGTTATGGTAGTTAGCAAATTTGAAAAAATGAGGACTTTTTTTTTTAGTCGGCAAAAGCACTAATGGCACCCCCTCCCCCCCAATGACACCTACTCGCGCCGGCCCTGAGTTTTAATGGAAGTTTTTAAGAAAAATAAATAAAATAAAAGTAAAAAGAGTAAAGAAAAGAAAAAGAAAGAAATAAAAAAGCAAAAAAATTTACAAAAAATTAAAAACTAAATCAAACAAGTATACAAAAGTAAATAAAAAAAAAAGTTACAAGACAATAAAAAACCAAAGTCAGATCCGTAACTGCGGTGGGGCCAGGGGGCCCAGGCCTCCAAAAATATTATTAAACTATAATTATTAGGGAAAAACATATATATTTTTTAGGGCTTTTCCCCTGCTATGTTCGGGCCTCTCCCTAACTCTGGGCCCCTAAAATGGGTACCTTAAAAAAAAAAAAAAGGTCTTTAATATGTAATATGGGCCCCCCTAATATGAAAATTATGGTTACGGCTCTGAAGCCGTATTCTCATCTCTCCGTTAAGCTTAACGGAGCTTTTGTCTGAAATTTCATTACAATATATCTAAGTAAAGAAATGACAAAAATCTTAATTAAATTTTTTAAGATAAAACTAATACTAAAATAAAACATTTCTTTTTAAAAATTTATATTTTTAAAGAACTTTTTTATTAATATAGTTGAAAAGAAATTTTTTACTAACGCTCCGTTAAGCTTAACGGAGAAATGAGAATACGGCCCCTGAAAGTTAAAAGAAAAAAGCTTTCGAAAATAGAAAGTAGTTAAATAATACAGTCGACTCTCGATATCTCGAATACTCAGGAGCCGGAAAAAAAGTTCGAGACATCAAGAGTTCGAGATATCAAGAAAAGGATTGAAAATAAATAAAATTGCCCGACTTTCATTAAAACAAGTTATTTTTCTGACAAAAATCATTAACAACAAAAACTACAACTTTTGGAAAAAATCTGTTATCTGATATTGCTTTAAATTATCGATCTTTTCCATCTTCATTAAATCCTCAAGTTTTAGTGCTAGGGATTGTATTTCATTTCCGTATTTTGAGCTGTATAGCGAAGCATTTTGAATCGTTTCAAAAGCAATTTCTAATTGAATATCAGATGGGCGTGGCGGGGCTTCGACGTCAATAGCTTTGTCAACGCTATCTTAAACTTCATTATCGTCGTTTTCAAAATTAGGGTCTAAAATCTGAGCAATGATTTCAGCATCAGTAGCAAGTGAACCGGTGGTTACTACATCGCAATCTAAACCGATGTAAGATTCCGCTGAGAGATTTTCTTGGACGGCACGAGGATCTAACTCTCGCAAACGGTTTAGTTCTTCTGTCAAAAATTTAAAAGGTTGATCATCATCAGCCTCTTCAATACTCTTGTTTGTTTTGCTGATACCAACTTTTTTAAAGTAGTTGATGACAGTCTCCTTCGACACAGCATTCCACGAAGAAACAAGATCTTTCATCGCTTGAAGTATAGAAATTTTTGGCATGGGTTCGCTATTATCGACAGCCTTGATACACAAACGCACAATTTTGTGACGATAATGAGCTTTAAGACTTCGTATTACGCCTTGATCCATGGGCTGAAGGACAGATGTGGTGTTAGGGGGGGAAAATATTAGGTTGATATTGCTTAGCCCTTCAATGTGTGGGTAGGCAGGACAGTTATCCACCACGAGTGCTACTTTCCTGTCTTGAGCACGAAAAAATGAGTCAAGTTTCATTACCCATTATGTAAAAAGGTCTCCGGTCATCCAACTTTTTAGCTGATTTTTATATGTGCAAGGAAGTTGTTTAATGTGCTTAAAACACCGTGGGTTTTTAGATTTTCCGATAACAGGCATAGGTAATTTTTCTCCCGTTGCACTCCCTGCTGCTATGCCTGTTTGTCTGACTTTACTATTTTTTCCCCCAAAACATTTTTCTCGTGATAAATGGTATGTTTTGTTTGGTAGACACTGGTAAAATAGTCTAAACTCATCGGCATTGAAAATGTTTTCAAGTTTGTAATTCAAAAGCAATGTTGGAAGTGTAGTTTCATTCCACGAAGCAGTCATATTATTTGTCACGGCGGCACTTTCGCCTGAGATTATTTTAAAGCTGATGCCGTTCCTAAAAATAGGAACAGAATAATTGAATTTTAATTACACGTTTAAAAAACTAAATAAATTAAATATAAACAGATACATGTTATTTGTTTATATTAAAATTGAACAAGATTTGACAAAATTTAACTGACCTTTCTTTCCAATTATGAAACCAACAATCAGATGCTTTAAAATCCAACTCTCCTAATGCTTCTGCGAATTTTAGTGCCTTTTCTTTTAGTATGGTACCATCAATTGATACTTGTTGACTTCTTTTTGCAACGAACCACGTGTATACATTTGCCTTGTCTACATTTTTGAAATTACCACTACGAAGTTTCTTCCGTTTAGATTTTGTTCCATTTTTTTCCAGTGAGGTTAATAACTTGGTTTTATTTTTAATCCAGGTTGATAATGTGTTCTTTGGGACTCCATACTTTTTGGCAACCTCTTTGTTAGACATCCCTGTCTCTAGGTCTTTTGATGCCTTGCATTTTTCTTTTATAGATTTGTTCGTGAGTTTTCGTTTAACGAGCGGCATGTTGTTGCGTTTAACAAAAAGAATAAATTAATATATTAAAGGAAAACTTTTCAGAAATTCGATTCTTAAAAAAAATCGAATTTAGAAATCGAATCAAAAAATTTTTTTTCGAAAGTTGGAATTTAAAAAAAATTAAATTTTATTAAAACATTTTTGAAAAAAAAAATGTTGAAAAGTTCGAGATAACGAGAGAAAATTGCCCTGAGGACCGAAAATATTGTTCGAGATACCAAAAAGTTCAAGATATTAAGGTTCGAGATATCGAGAGGATTTTAGCCTAAATTAGTATGTTATGTCCATGGAACCGCTAAAAAAGTTCGAGATACTTAAAAGTTCGAGATATATCAAGTATTCGAGGTATCGAGAGTCGACTGTATATAAAAATCAAGCTATCTCTGCAGTCTGATAATTTTCTTATTACTTTTTTTTTTATTTATTTAATTTGCCGTATAATACTATTTACAATGAGAAAAAATTGTTTACATATATAAAAATGACCGGAGCAAGAAGAAGACACATTGTCTTATCGCCGAGCCCCGTTTACATAGAAGCCGTTATATTACAATTTAAAAACTTAAAACATAAAAATAGGTAACATAAAAAACAAAAATATATTTCTACAAAGATATAATAAAGTTAAAATAAGATATTAAAATAGCATAATTTTACAGTCATAGCATAGTTAATGGAAAATAAAATGACTTTTTCAAAACAAAAAAAAAGGTGAAGATCTATTCTGTTTATTTATTTTATTTTATAGTCAAATTTTAAAATAAATATTTTAAATCGAAGTTTATTCCTAATAAGAAACGTTTATATACTGTTTTGAATTGTTCAAAAGAGATGTTTTTAAGAATGTTATATTTAATAATTTTTTGAAAATATTCATTCTATAGAAATGGTCCACGATATTGTATTTGGAATGAACTGAGTTTTAAATAGAATCTTGGAACAACAAAATTATCATTTGAAAAATTAGTGAGATACTTATGAGAAATTTTAGTAAAGTAAGAGTGAAATATATTAGGCGACAAACCATGCTTGGGTTTAAAGATGAACAGCATAACTTGATATATATTAAGTTTATAAACATTGAGTGCATTGAGTTCCATTAAGAGAGGCTCTCCATGAGCAGTTCTCTTAACGCCAAAAATAATTCTGCATGCCATTTTTTTCTTTACTATAGATTTTTTTAAGCTTTCCATAGTTGCTACTTTCCCATGCAACATTGCAATAGGTTAGATAACTATGAATAAATAAAAAATATATAAATTTTAAAGACTTGATATTAAGAAATGGTTTAACTTTATATAAAACAGAAATATTTTTGGATATTTTATTTTCAATAGATTTTATATGAGATTTCCATGATAAATTTTCATCTAATATTATTTCCAGGATGTTTACATTTGATTCTCTTTTAATAACTGAATTATTCATAAAGAGATCGGGCAATTTAAGAGGGAGGTGATCACTCTTATTAGGTTTATGAAACAGCAAAAATTTATTTTTCAGTACATTTAACGAAAGTTTATTACAAGTGATCCAATCATTAACTTTTATTAGTTCTTCATTAAATATTTTAAAAAGATCTTTTATATTATTATTTGAGTAAAAAAGATTAGAGTCGTCAGCAAACAAAATAAGATTTAAAGTTTTGGAAGGTAAATATAAATTGTAAATGTACAACAATAATAAAAGTGGTCCTAAGATGGATCCCTGGGGAACACCACAAATTGTAATTTTGTTTCCTGTTTCATTTTCTTTATACACTATGTATTGTTTCCTGTTTGACAGGTAATTTTTAAACCAGAGTAAGTTATTGTTTACTACTCAATAGAGTTCTAGTTTTTTTATAAGTATGTCATGGTCAACTTTGTCAAATGCTTTTGACAGATCAATAAAAACTCCTAGTGTATAGCAATCGTTATTGAACCCATCGGATATATAATTTGTTAAATCGATTACTGCATGATCCGTTGAATGGTTTTTTTGAATCCAAATTGCTTATTTTACAGTAATTTGTTTTTGGTTAAATATTTAATAAGTCTTTCATACATAATACGCTCTAGTAATTTTGAGAAGCATGGTAAAACAGAAATAGGTCTATAACTGTGTTATCGCCAGTTTTAAAAATAGGTGTTATTTTAGCAATGTTTAATTTCTCCAGTACCATACCGAATTGTATTGAAAGGTTAAAAATATGAAACAAAGATGGTTTAATGATATCGAAGATTGCTTTAACTACGTTCACGCTAATTTTATCAATGCCAACGGATTTATTATTTTTCAGACAATTGAACGCATTACGCAGTTCATTTATATTTAAATTAACTACTTTCATAGATATATTGTTTGGTTTTATCTAGGTTTTATATATTTATCATCATTATTATTTGTATTAATAATATTATTTCATGGTATTTACTTAAGATTCGTTTTTAACTGTTTGTAAATCACCCCGTTTGTACGATCTTTTATCGAAATATATTGATTGTTTTTATTTATAAAGTTCAATTAATTAGGAAATAATTGTGCGCAAAAATAACATTTTTGATCACTTATTTGCATTATGATGTATAAACAGAGCATTTCTCCACGTTGAGGTAACAGCCTCGATCGCTTTTTCTTATAAATATTTCCATATTCAGAAAAAATAAAGAATAATTTAATGGCTAATTCTTTTAGCAGCGAAATTTTTTTTTTTAATATTTAAGGTGGAATACCCCTAAGAAATATGAAAATTTTGAAAAAAAAAATATTTTCTTATTTTGTGCAAAATTTATCAGAGGTTCACAATCTCAAAACCATTTTAAAAAATTTGCTAAAGATCTTTATTAGACTAGAATTTATTGAACCCAAGAAATTTTAACTTCCATAACAACCACCATAGCAACAGCACTTTTTTTTCATCCTAACTAAAAAATCCTCCTAAAATCTTATTTTACCGTTTAAAAAATATACTAAAAAAAAGAATTTTGTTTTCTACTGTTTAAAACTACTTTATAATAAAAGCAATCACTAGAATGACCATTTTTAATCTTTTAAAATCGTTAAAGCTTGTAGAGTTAAACAAAGAACTAAAGAAAATAAAAGGAAAAAAATGTTTCATGGAAAGAAGAAATTAGTTGTAAATAGTGTGGATATGGATGAAAATAATAGCAATGTAAATATAGAATCCTATTGTGTAGATACCAATGTAAATGTTACTTAAAGTGTTAAAAATATAAATTTAAATATGATAAGAGCTGTTTTAAAGATATAAATTTAAATATGATAAGAACTGTTTTAAAGATATAAATTTAAATATGATAAGAACTGTTTTAAAGATATAAATTTAAATATGATAAGAACTGTTGATTTTAATTTTTTGATTTTAATGTAATTGATTCTGATCAAATTAAAAAAGTTAAAAACATTTTAATTTAACATTAAAAAAAAATTAAAACTAAAAAAATTAAAAACAAAATCTTTTTCGGGTAGTAATAGGCTAAAAAATGGGACCAAAATTGGGCAAAAAATTTAACCGAATTTTGTGACTTCGTTGACCTATTCTAGGACTGGAATAAATTTTATAAAAAATCAGTCACATTTAAATCACAGAAGGCAATAAAATGCATTCATACTAAAAATTTTATCTTTATACCACTTTTAGTTTTTTAGATATCGCGACGTTAGAATTATCTTGTTCTATCTCCACTTTCTGAAAAAATTGAGTTAATGATAGTGCTGTGTTCCTCAAAATAATGTCTTTCTACTAAATTGAAATCTAAGTTATAAGTAAAAAAGTTGCGGAAAAAACATATATACATATATATATATATATATATATATATATATATATATATATATATATATATATATATATATATATATATATATATATATATATATATATATATATATATATATATATATATATATATATATATATATATGTATATACATGTTTATATAAAGCAATCATCACAGCTATTTTTTATGTAATTTATAACTTTTCATCATTTCCCATTTTCATTCCTTGTTGATGAAATTCTATGCTCAATAGACATTTGCTTTTTTATTTCACACATTTTTTTTACAAATAACATGCTACCGTTTGAATTTTTTTGAGTTAAATATGTTGAAAGTTCAACATTTTTTTTGTTTCCCCTTCATACAATTTTAAATGAAACTTTTTGCGTGATTTTGCAATAGAGTTGTGCAAAACTATATTTGACCAGAATTATTAGATCAACTGCTTCTCTGCTTTCCACATTTTGCTATCAATTTGAAAGTATCATTTAGTTTAAAATGCTTCTAAACAAAACTTGTCATTTTAACATGTTTACCGTGGTGATTAGACCATCCAACTTGACTATTCGAATACTTGATATTCGAATATATTTGCATGTTTTTTGACTATTTGATATTCGAATATTTTTTCAAAATATTCGAATAATTTCAAAAATGTAAATCACTGTAAGCTTTGAAAAAAGTACGGTTAATTTCTCTCTTCTTACAAGAAAAAACAAATAAACCCTGAAATGAAAAACAAATCTAAGAATTTTTATATAGAATATAGCCTTGACGTGGGAAAATTGCATTTTTGTATGGTTTTAATTTTAATTTAATTTTGTGCGACATTATTTTTGTTAGTTATTAGAAAGCAGTGGGTTATTTAAATTGCTTAGCAAATATTCGTAAATTTTATTGTAAAAATTCATTTCATTTAAAATAATAAAAACAATATAATCAATAATTTTTAATAATACAATTTGTGCTTGCATACTTCTATAATAATAATTATAACAAGAATAATAATAATACTTCAGGTAAATTAAAATTTTTTAGATTTTCTTACATACATATTTACATCTTTGGTTTTTTTAGCCATGTCAAAAAAATCCGAGGTATGGACCTTTTTTAAGAAAGATGAAAAAAAATTTGGTGAAGCCACATGTGGTACGTGCAACACGAACATTGGATGAAAAAGTTGAACCACTGCTATGATTAACCAT